ATCATATACCTTCTTGAGTATATCGTCGACTTTAGCTCTACGAGAGTTGGCCGGTAAAATTGCGAGGAGGAGAGGGTATTTTGCAGATTTAATCAAGTTCGAGCGAATCTCTCCCGGCAATCTTCGCATAAATTACAAGAAGTTTACGGCGTATCAACAGTGCCGTGACGATATATGTGCCGTTAGCGGCAGGTTGCCGTCAGTATACGCCGAGGTTCTTGAACTTTTCCGGGGATCCGTCTCTAGAACCGAGCCGAAGGAAGGCTCACAGGTTCGGATCGGCCCAGGTGGGGATCGGGATCGTCCTCTGTTATACGAGACATCGCCCGGTCATCACACCTCGAGCATCCTCCGTGTTGTCCAGACACGTTGTCCCACGTTCTCCAACGTCGTTTCGTCCGCTTTCGTCGCATCCTCGCGGCACCGGTTACCGCGGTCCTTGGCCCAATCGCGTTTCCGCGTCTCGTTTAAGAGTCGCAAAAAGTGGTCCGTCGAGCAAGAAACAACTTGGCAAATTCACGGATCGGAGCCGAACAGGAAGAAGCATCCCGCAGTTCCCGAGGTCACCGGTGCTTTGAGTCGAAATCGAGTAGAAAAGCCATAATTAGGAATCTCGGACTCGAGTCGAGGACAGACTTTGCGAATAGAAGACAGACCTGGACAGACCGAAGTGTGTCGAGTGGACAAGGCAACTCGACGAGTAGCCGCTCATCAATGTTATCAATCAACATGCGCGTGTTCAAGACCGTGCTAATCGTCGCGTTCTTCGGCGCGAGCGTTCGGGGTTTACCCGTCGCCGACAAGCCGACCGGGTCCAAGATCGAGTCCGAGATCAAGACCGAGATCGTGGCCACCTCGGTGGTACCGCAGGAGATAGATGTGACCACGGCCGCGCCGACGTCCAGGTATCCCGATACCACCGATTTCTACGACCAGCGGCAGAACGGTTCGGAGAATTATCGCATCCACGTGGACGGCTTTGTCGTCGTATTGGCACCGGTCGAGGCCCTGCTCCTGGCCGGTGCCGCTGGTGCCGCTGCTGGTTCCGCTGGCACTACGGAAGTTAATTTCTCCATTTCCAATGAGGGTGCATCCCCGATTCAGCCCATCGGCGAACCGGACAAACCCGCCGTTGACGGTATCCATAACAAAACCGATCTGGCGATCTCGAAGACAATACACAGGTAAGAATCCATCTACTCGTCGTTGCCCTGACAATTAATTTTATTGGCATTAATTATAATTTATATCAATATCTTAAATTGTAATCGTATTGCAATTGGTATCTCGCGCGTAATTTTCAATTTTTTAATTATAAAAATAATACAGTGTGTACACTTTTTCTCGAGACGTGACCATCTTATGTTCCAGACAACCAGCTGTACGGTTGGCGAACTTCTTGGCGCCCTTGATACGTGGCATACGTCATGTGCGAGGCACGAGCGTGCATTAAAATGACTCCTCGACGCTTGCAATTCCAATACATATAGTGTTCCGCCTACAGCATATATTAAGAAAACGGTATTTTCCTTCCCTTTCAATACAGCGGGCGTACAATCTACGTTTCAAGACTAATAACTATTTAAAATAAGATATTTTTAAAAAGAACCATGCTCTCTCCACAGGGATAGGATATCTGCATCTACAGGGATGATGGACGAGTACTCGTAGAATATAAACGATGTATGATCGACGATCGAAGTCGATGTCGTACCACGCATTTATATATATGGTGTATCTAGTATCAATAAAGAGACGCGCCGATCGATATTAGCGTTATCCGGCAAGCTCATTTCTCTCTGTAACTTAAAAGATGGCTTTTAAAATACATAAAATTGCAAAAGTCACGATTTCATTGACCTTATCCGTACAATGTAACGGGCGATTGTGTATCCACATATGTATTTACATGTTAAACGAGCTAAATGCAATATTCGCCTTAGCTATAATTTCATTTTGATTTAGCGCGTTACGGTATACAATATATTCATTTGCTTATAAAACAATCGTAAATGTTAGCTGCGAATTTTCCACGTGCACCGACGTGATATAATCTGCTTCGTAAAGTTATGTATACATGATATAATTATATGCATCTGTCTTTCGAGATATGAAAATTTATTTGATTAAACATTAAAATACATATGTGTTGTTGTTTGGTGTATCATCACAATATGTTTCCTATGCTTAAAGTTGTGCCTAAAGCAAAGCTCCATTTTGATGGAAGAAACCTCGTCTAAATGTTTGCAATAAATCTCAACTTTGATTTCACTGAGCAACAAGTCTTTGAGACTTATCACAAACAAATCTTATAGGTATTAACGTATATACATTCTTAGATAAAAAAGAGAAATAAATTATGCACACACACACGCACGCACACAAATAATCGCATAAATGTTTTTTTTTCTAGTCCTCGTCTATTAAGAAGCTTTTTAAGCATTTTTATATCTACGATTTGCCATAAAATATTTCATTATCTATCCTCCTTGGATGTTGCACAATGATTACGGTAATGTGAGTGTTGCAGGATCGAAGACACGATAAAAGGTACCCAAATTCTATTCCTTCATTTTATATGATAGTGCCTTGCACTCTGTTGTATTTTCCATTACACGCTATTATCTTAAATGTAGGATACTCTACTCTGTTATCTCAATTGAAAAAGCCTTTATTATGAACCTAATAATTTCACACAGTGAAGAATTATTTCTACGCATTGAATATAAAATTCTACGATCAACTGCGATCAACTCGGTGGGAATCAGTACTGGATATAATATATTCGCGAATAACGAGTAACGATTTATAATTTTGTATTTTCACAAAAAAAGTGTACTAGCGTATTACACAACGTTCACACGTATTCAAATATATGTTAAATATACATTTTGACATAAATATAATTTAGACGTATAAAACATATATTTTATATACGCTAATACATTTACAAATATATATTTAAAATCATTATTCATTATTCATGAATATATTTGACCAAATGCTGGTAAAAAAAAAATACAATGCAAAATCAGCAAAGTTAAATATCCCTTTATACGCTTATGTAATTAGCCATAGTTGGTTGTAATTTTAATCAGAATCATTTATTCTTTAAATAATCATCTTTTGTACAATTATTTTAAAAACGGCGACGAGCCCGTATTTGTTCAAATTTGATTCAATTATTCTTCGCAATTTCGACATAACAACGTCGTATTAATATACACATGTACAATATTAAATTCAGCCTGGAATTAACATTACAAAGCGCACAGAAATACGTTCCGATAAAAGGAAAAATATATATAATTCAAATTTATATGCTGTCTAAACTCTTTCAAAAATTCATTCACGTCGAAATTAGAAATCCCACTTTTACAATAAAATGTTCGTCGATGTTCAATATAATAATTCAGACTTTCAAAATTGACACATTTCTCTTAAGAATTAAAATAATTTATAATAATTAGGAAGAATATATATATACGAAATTAATAAGATATTTTAAAATATTAAGCGGAAGTCGCCTCGATCGCATCGAGATCCTCAGTTTATCTCACCGGGACTGTTATTACTAGCAAGTACGGCCTCAAATTTCAATTCCTCCTTACCCGCCTACAGAGGAATTATACCATTTGACATCTCTTTCAGGAAAGTCAATAATTTATGTCAGAGATATGGCAGTAGCGTGAAAGAAGCACACTATAAAAATGTATCGGCGACATCGCCGGCTATTACCTCTTTAAGCAAAATCCGGCAATTCTCCACAACGCTACGTCGTCGATCCGGCACGTTGTTCAGGACTTCTTCCGGTGATTGATGAAGATTATCGATGATCTTGCGAAGCTCGTTCAATTCCGTTACAGTGGCTTCTAATTTTATCTCCAAGTTAGACCTGCAAATGACATTCCGAATTAATAAATTGGAGGTTTAAAATCCTTACGATCCGATCAGATTTATTAAACTCACTTCTCTTCTTTCAATTCCTGTATACACGTATCGTTGTCAAGCTGTATGATTCGTAGCACTTTGAGAAGTTTAGTAACGAGATTGTCCACCTCGATCACTTGATCGACGAGATCCACAGATGGACAGTAATCCGTCAAAGGTACAGGACCGTCATTGGTCCCGGTGTCAGATTCGCTCACGGAATCGCAATCGTCGTCACCCTCGTCCTCCACCTGCAAATTTTTATACGATTAATTATTATGATTATTTTATATTTCTAATAAGTTACGAGTTTGATTTATCTCAGATACTTGCCTTACGACGATGCAGGATCGCCTGGGTGAGATTCGTGAGACTTGTACATTCGTCGCCGTACTTCGTCTTCCTTAGATTATGCTCGTCCGACGTTTCGGAGAAACTCAGTGCTCTGCGTAGAGAATCGCTGCTCGATATCATGTTATGCGAGTATGTGTCCGGCAAAGGCACGTCTTCCAGGACGCTTTCCATCATCAAACATGGCTCGGTTTCAAAATCGAGCAAGTCGGACGACGATTCCATACTCAGTTCTAGAAAATAAAAATTATGGTTTTAATGGATCTGAATGTAATATCCTTATTGTGGCATCTTATTCGTATTCAATTACCTTTGTAAATCTGTTTAGACGAATCCAGGCTGGATTTTTTATCGATGTTTCTAGCCGCGAAGGGATGCGTCGCGGCGTTCCGAATTGCGCTGATCACCGCGGAAACGAAGGATCCACTCTTCGGGCTCGGCGTGCGTTCTTTTAAACTCTGCTTAGAGCTAACCGGACTAGACTCCACGCTACTGTTGCTTCTACTGTACGCTTCGTTATGATATATAACATCCTTTTTGGGGAAAGAATTACAATGCATTTAAACTGTCTAACAATAATCAATATAAATTTTTAATTATTAAATTTAGAAAGGAAGTTAGCAGAGAAAAATAGTAAAAATAGAATATTAATCCTCCATCTATTATGATCGTTATTTGTCTATTATATTTATTTATAAAAGGTAGCATGTTATAACTGTTCACAAAATAGCTATTATAAGAATATAAACCACTTTGTACGCAAAAGAGGACTTTCATCATTATACTTACTTCAAGATCTTTTACTGAGATGTTATAAGAAGCAATTAATTGATCTATCAATCCTTCCAATCTGGTGCTAAGTCCGGAAAGAGCTACAGCCGCTCCGGACATAGCAGCGCCTTGAGTGAGTAAAAGTTCCCTACTTCTTCGTTCAACGGCATTCAACTTTAGACTCATTGATAAATTCTCTTGCCTAAAAACGGATAATTAATTGTTGAAATATAATTTATAATGTTTAGGAGAAATATTGTCAAAAGTTTTCGTGAGGCATACCTTCTTTGTTCGCTAATTCGCACTAAATGTTTACACTCCTCCATTTGTCTCTCTAATTCCGTCTCTCTTTGAGTTAAGGCTTCGCTTTTTTTCTTGAGCTACAAAAGACAAACCGAATATGAAACAAACGGTACATACTTCAAGAAGGGAACTTAGAAAACTACGCACCTCCAATTCGGCATCTTTGAGCGCCTCCGCCAATGTGGCTTTCTCCTCTTGGAGAAAATCTTGCATCTCGGCTGATTCGGCTTCCAATTCTTGTTGCTGTTGTAGCAAGGCTTTCTGCGCAGCTACACTTTTGTCCAAATCCTTCAACAAAAATATAAAATTATAAAAAGATATTTCCTTGACAGGAAAAATTACAGAAATAATTTTTGTATTATAATAGAAACTGCTGGTAGATATGATTTTCTTACCCTGCTTAACATACGACAGAGCGATTGCAGATCAGCTATTTCAACTTGTTGATTAGCGACAACTTGTCCCGAAGATTGTATATGACTTTCGAGCTCTAGGAAGCTGTCGCTGCCTTCTGAAAGAAAATTTCATCGATAACATTTTATTTTCTTATACAAATTTTACTTTTGCAAATTACGCAGATACAAAAGTAATATAAAATAATTTTGCATTATATTATCACATTTGTTTTTGTACTATTGAATTACCTGCATGTTCTGATTGCGGCGTTCCTAGCATAGCCAGTACCCGTTGCGCGTTTCTATCGAGTTCCTTACGCGCAAACGCGTGATCGGCCCGTTCCTCCTCTAGAAGACGATTCGCCTCGGCCAACTCGAGTTTCAATCTCTCGTTCTCTTCCCGCAGACTGCCGCTTTCCTCATTCAAGCTTCTCAAGTTATCCTGCAAGGTCTGTACGTCGTCCCACGCGTCTTCCGTTTGGCAACCCTTGTGCAGTCTCTCGACGACCTCGGGCCCAGCGATGGCGCTAGGTTGTCCGGACATCGCGTTCTCGATGTCCTGCCCGGTCAAGCCAGTCTGTGCGCTGGTCTCGTGATATATACGAGTTTTTTCGGTTCTCTGTCTGGGATACGGCGGCAGACTCTTGTGAACGGAAGACGAATCCCTCCCAATAACGCTCTTCTTCTCAATGGTTCTGCTGAGGCTAACGTCTCGACTTCCAGATCGACTTCTGGTCATCTTGTCCGTCTTCTCTCCGGCTTTCGAGATCGTCAGTTTATTTCTGTTCCTACGCGGCAACGTTGCATACGTATCAAGCGCCTTGTTATCTTGGCCAACGGATTTATTATCAGCACGTGAGACAGTACTCTTCGCGCAGAGAACGCGAGAAGCTGACAAGGACGGTATCTTCGCTCTCGTTTCCTCAGACGGCGTGGACGCCGGCGTGCGCGCCCCTCGCGTGCTGGACCCGGTCCTCGATCTCGATGAATCGTTCCTGACAATTCTCCCGCCACGCTGCGCAAGATCCTTGTTGATCTCCGTGGTCAGTGCAGACGGCAATGAGTCCGGCAGCACTCTCGTCCTCGTCCTCGCGATCGAAGCCGCAGTGGGAGTTGATAAATTGGATACTGCGCTGCTGCTGGACCGACAGCCATACGTCGCCGTACCACGACTACCAGCAGGCGTCTTGGTGTCTGCAACGAGGGAGGAGCTCGGCTCTCGAGCGCTCAATTTTTCTTTCGATCGTGGTCGATGGTCCCGTTCCCTGCCCGCACCTTGAATCTTGGTCATTATGTTTCTGGGCGTTGCTGTTCGCGACTTAGACCGCGGCGTCGTCGAGCCTAAGCTCGTGCCCGAGGTCGCGCTCGTTGGTTTCGCGCGAGCGCTCTTCTGCGACTCGGTACCGCTCGTGATCTTCTTCTTGGCCGCGCTGGACGTCGTCGTGGTCCTCTTCACGTTCATACGGCTCGTTCGCACGGACACGCTGCCAGCGATGGACGAGCTCTCGCTACCGCCTTCGCTCGTGCCCTCGCCGCCGGTAGCACCCAGTCGCACATCGTCTGGCAACGTGGATCCGCACGCGTCCTCGTACACCGAGCAGCAACTGACGAGGCTGGAGTCGCAAGAGGCCTCGTCCAGGCCGCCACAACTGCTCGTGTAGTCGACGCTGTTTCTACTGCGTACCTGCAAGAATATGTGATCTAAATAAGTATCTATAATTTATAAATCTATTATCATTAGTGTCTGCACATTCTTGGTTTTACATATTGAAAAAGCATGTAAAAGAGTTTTTATCTTAAGAAAATATTAAAATCTTATCTGGTGAATAAACTTTATATACTGAAACTCACTCTTGGAACTTCTGTCGCGCAACCCTCGACGCCGCTATCGCTGCCGTCCTTGCTGTCCTTATTCTCAGCTAGCGTCTTGTCGTTCGCCTTGCTGTTCTGCGACTCGGTGATGTGAATGACGGTGATATTGCAATTGCTGTTCATAGTGAGATCCGGATCCTCCTCTTCATTGAGAGGCGAAGCGAGATCCTCCGGTACGCCCGAGTCCTGCCGCGCCACGTTCATCGGCGAGGATACCTTCAGACAATTTTCAGGCTCGGGGTACGAGGTCTCCATTATTACGGTATCGAGCAAATCGCTCATTTCGTTCTTATCATCATGCCACTGAAAAATATTGCAGAGGAGAACGAATGAGTACAAAAATAATTAAATATAATATTAATACGTTCTAATTTATATATAAAGTCATACATATCTATAAATACGTTTGAACGTTGGGATAACAGTTATAGGTAGATATATTTTTGAGGCTCATAAATTTAATTTAATTAGGAATAGCCAGTCTTTTGGCTAGCATTCTGATTACGGGCTTGCAGAAACCAATGCAAAATGAAGCTTTTTGAAGATTGTACAGTGAGACGATGTAACAAACATACTAATCTTCTAAAATTAGATAGCTGATTGTTGAACACGGAATTGGTCATGTTACAAGAATTTTTCGAATCCAAGGCTAAAAGAATCATCCAATACGGACAGTAGCGGACTGAGGATGCAGACAGGAGCAATTAGCTCGCATAGCGCCAAATCGATAAAGCTATTTCGTTTCAAAATCAAGTTATGGCATTCCAATCACGGTCATATTGAATTAGTCGAATGGTACACACGACTCATGCAAAGGAAATCATTTCTGATAGTCTAGACACGATTTTTCCGATTCGCGCGTGTCGGATTAGGAAACAGCTCAATGATTAACTACTTAGTAGAGAATAATAAAAACTGAGTAAAACATTTGATTCTTCATTAATTTACACAGTATATTATATTGTTAATCATTTAATTTTTAACAGAGAGAAAGAAAGAAAGAAAGAGGGATTCTCTTCGCAAACTTTACTTACGTTTTACGATTTATTCATTCGTATAGAGGCGTAAAATTGACAATTTGCAGATAATTTATAACAAATAAGTTCTAATTTGCATTTTGCATGATTCACGCTGGACCAGGAAAATCCATTTATTATTTTTCGCGAAAGATCAATTAAGGGTAACCATTTGAGCTCTCTGTTATCAATTTATCTCTCGTCTCTTGATTGACGTACTCTGACTGATAGAGACCAGTGTTATGCACAGATATGAAATAGCGGATAACGTGAGGAGGAATTAGGTGATTCCCTCTAAGCGCATATCTACGAGCACAGCTGATACCTCGTAGATTGTTCGCACAGATATTTTGTCGCACTACTATACAATGAGTCACTAAATTACTCCCCCGATTATCGAACGACGTAGTGCAATTCACTCGTGAATCGCGATTTACGAGAAATCGTGTGACCGAATGACAGTGAGAGCGGACTGTGCCAGGAATGTTGAGTGGGACGTCGCGAGATAAGATACATGTTGATATCAATGACAAATAGTCATTAACACAATTAGAATTTACAAAATTGTGCGAAAACAGAAAAAGAAACAAAGAATTTTTATAATTTTTTAAAGAAAAGAATATATAAGATTTGATTCGATCTAAACGAAAGAAGAGTTATTTATCTTCTAGCATATAGTAATAAAACAAATCTAGGAATCCGGTAAATATAGTAAAGTGTAGAAGAAGTTATCTCTCATTCTCTTTATACCTTAAAGTGTTCAGTCCAATAAGATAAGTATCAGTAGATAATTAATTTTCGGTCTATTATTGTTACAAGGTACACCATTGTTAAAACTCTTGCTGGGGAAAGGTGCATTCCATATTCGCTCCAAGTAACACTTTCTGTTTTAATCTTATATGCATATTTTGCCATTTCTCCTCCGATTGCACAGTGAAATCCGCAGTACACATACATCCGCAGTGTCCCGAAAATATTTGTATCACTCTTTCTTTCTTTCGAGGAATTACAATATTTCAGGGGAAATATTTATTTTCAACGGACACCAGCCTCTTAGATGAAATGAAAATATTAACAAAATGTTTCAATGCTCATATTTTTCCAAGGAATATAGCTATGTTATATCCTCTAACAATTTTTATCATTAAAAGATGCAATGGAGAGGCATTCTGCATGTAATTAGACAGAAATTTTAAAGAAATATAATTTATATGTACTATATTTCGAGATATCAATAAAGAAAACTGTAAAAGCTAAGCAGGATTTGCAAAGATTAATCCCTGACACTTTGAAAACCTAAAGATGACGCTACGATTATATTAAGCTGTTGTAAAGCCCCTTTTCAGACGCTTCGAGTCGGCAAACCGTTTTGGCCTTCGCTCGACCGTGATGAATGACGGCGAGAGAACGGCGTGCCGAATTAGAGAGAGAGAGAGAGAGAGAAGAAAAGATAAGGCAAACAGAGTCGTAACTAGGCTTTGGCAAATACGATCCTTTTTAATTCCAAAGATCTTTTTTCGTCACATTGCAATATTTGCATTTCTTTGCATATTTCCGGTGTAAAAGAAACGGCATGCACATTCAACCATGTAGGATGTCTTTTTAATTAACAAATTGTCACAAATACTTTGTTGCCGATTTGAAATCAATTTTTCCTCACTGAAAATTTCGAGCAATTAAAATTAAGATTAAGACGTTAAGTTTCTAGTAAGACTTCGGGAGTAGAATAGAATAATATATATTATATATATTCTAGAATAAATCCTCTCAGGGTGATGCATGAGAAAGTAAATGATGCATATCTTACAAAAGAGAAGATACTTGATATAAGATGATATATATTGTAAAATAAAATAATATAATATAAAAAATACAATATAAGGAGCATAAATCGATATATGAGAATAAATAAAAACAGGAAAATTGGCAGAAAATATTATGTGTCTATACTTTAGCTTAATGGAATTTTAATTTGAAATATATATGATGCTAAGAATTCACGAGATAATTGTGGCTAATTATACGTAATTACGGGCCGCTAACAATTAACTTAACAATGTCCCCAGTATCAATTTTAAATTCACTTTTAATAGATATAATTGAACACGAAACAGGATAAAATTTAAAACTTCGTGAAAAATTCTAGCTCTTTTCGTACATATAGAAATAATACTCAAATAAATTGCGAGATATATTAAATATTGAGATGTATAACATTATATAGAGGAAAACTTGTTTAATCTCAACGTACTCTAATTATCTGTGACAGATAAATGACACGTAACCGGTAACAGATCGTAAAAGGCGTTGTAATTCCTAGTTACGAGCCTGGTATCAATGAACGGAGTGTTCACTGCTGCGAACGGTCTCGCGGGAAGTCCCGCGAGAAGCAGTGATAATCGGGGCCGATTGTGCGGTGAAGAACCCGTCGTCACACGTGCCCACCACCACGCAAAGCGAGCGAACGCATTCGTTATTACGCGGCTGCAACGTAGGGAACGGACTCGTGTCACGCCGCTCGCCGTAACGTAAATAACTCTCTCTCGCGCGTATCTCTGCACGAACGTACTTTTTCTTTCTGGTATACTCACCTCTAAAAACAGAATATATCTTAATATTTTAGTGGCGATAGAAAGAAGTAAAAAGAGGTTTATTAAGAAGAAGAAACCCTTCGAGATAACACAGTACCTGATTAGTAATTAATACATTACTTGTACAATAAATCATCCAACGAACAACAACGATTGGATAATTGTTGTAGTTGCCACGGAACAAGTATGTGTCGAAAGAAATGTTCCCTAATATCAATAACGAAGAGAGATGACAATCCGCAAGTGTCAGTGACGATCTCCCACATCGACGAGCAACCGGACTTGAAGACGAAGGAACGGAAGATTAAGAGCAATTCCATGAGACATTGTAAGCATTCTCCCGACGAGGCCGACGTCGACGACGACATCAAGCGATTCCACGGCGACGGGCTCGTCGTTAAGATGCACTCGAATCAGCATGTGCTGGAGATCACGGGTGACGGCTGCCGGATTGCCCTGTCGAAGAATTCCGGCAGCGTTCACGTCATCGGTGACGGTTGCAGACTGCGCGTGAACCGCAACATGGGCGATATCGAGTACACCGGCGACGGCGGACAGGTCCTCCTCGGACCGGACTCCTCTAAAAGAAAGGTTAAATTCGTGGGAGACGGCGGAAGAGTGATCTTCGACTCGAGTCCCGAGACTGACCTGAAGAAGTCATCGAAGGAACAAAAAAACAGTGAAACTTACGTGCAAAACTTTACGTGTCCACGTAAGGAGATTATTAATAAGATACCGAAATGCGAAGATGACCACAGGACGTCGAACGAAGAGGATCTGGACAATATCTTGAACGATACGAAGGAGAAGTACTGCCAGGGGAAGCACAACGAGGAAACGCGGAAATCCTTGCGGCATCCAACCGTTACGAAGATCATCACGAAGATCCAAAGCGACGGTCTATGCGTAACGAAACGGTTCGGCGAGTCTAGGTTGATCGTTAATTCCCGCGGTTGTTCTGTGACGACAAGTGTGTCGAAAACTTCGGCCACGAATGTCGAGCTCAAGTGACGTAACCGGAGTTTCTTGGGTGGTGCTATGTAGAAAGGTCTGTTCCTAGAAAAATAAACGATCAAGAGCGATCAGCAGCTGGCTGAACGTAACTTCACCGAAAGTTCTTCTTTTTTCAATTGTACAAACTGCTAGAAAATATTTTCATTTTACGAAAAATTTTAGGAAGCCTATACCGCAACAAAGTTGACACTAGTTGTAGCTCGAAAGTACAAACCAATAGTTACTTGGATTTTATTAATTTTACAAGTATTATGTTTCCTGCCTTTGTAATATTATTTACTTTATTATTTTAGAAAAATATCTCTGTGTACATGACGCTATAAAATTCCCATGTCATTATTCTATAGAATTACGTTCGTCATAATTATTTTCCATGCTATTGTCTCTCCAAGACTTTCAGACTATTAGTATGAACTACATTCGACGTAAAGATGAAAAATAGGACTTTTAAACGACTATATTTAACGCTAACTATGTACTGACTAATATGTATATTGTTCATGCATATTAATTATTGCGCAAATACCTCTTTTCGTCTTTTCGTTTCCACTTTTTCTATTAATTATATACATTTTAATTTTTGAACTTACTTAAACTTTAAATTTATTATAATTTCTATAAAATTATTACATGTATTAAATTATAAAAGTATTATTAAATATAATTTATTATTAAACTGTTATCAGTTATTATTTTCCTGATTTCAAAACCCGATGAAACTTTCAGATCGACACTCCAATTATCGACATTCCGAGAATTTGTCTCTATTAATAACTTTAATAATAATTATTAATATATTAATAGTAATTAAATAATAATTATCAGCATGAAGTCGTTTGCGTGCTAAGTTAAGTTAAGGCCGTCTGCCGCCTTGTATTCTCAGTGTATCAGACCGAAACGATCTCAGAGATTTGATTCAAACAACGAACAAGAATCGTAATAAATCGGCTCACCCAGACATTGACGCGTCTTAGCGTTTTATATACAAAATAAATGTAGGAAATAGCGATGACAGACTAAACGGAGAGTCATTTATATTTAGACACGAATAAAGCTAGCAACGGCATATCTTAAGAGCGCAGTGTGATCGATAGATAGGATATCGGTCGTAAACTATTCCTGGCAACCATATGAAGCGCGTAGCTGGAAAATTTCTGTCCGAAGATATACAAATGTGTAAAATAACGCATTCAGATCGGTCGCGAACGAATGTTCTCCCCAATCGCATCGTCTATCCCCAATAGAAATATGACAACATTTATATTTAAACTGATCAATTCAAATTTAATTCCAGTTTAAAAAAAAAATCCAAAAGACGCGAGACAGACCAATTTTCCGTCGAGGTAAATTTCTAAACGTAGTCGTTTCATCGTTGCTTTCGTGTGAAATCCTGGGAATCAAGAGATTGTTACTTTGTTCGGCACTCTCAATGTAAACTGTATAGCGACTGGGCGCACTGGATTCAGCAGTTACCGAGATATTTCAGTAAATGGACGGCGGTCACACATGGGGGCGACTGCGAGGAAGATAATTCTATTTATGAACGACAGTAATCCTCAGCATTCCCGAATATCGCGGTACGGAAAGACATTAGTCCCGTGATTTACCAGAACTTCTTTCCTGAGGTATTTACAATGCCATTTCAGTATATCTATCCCTATAAAGTACTCGTTCACATTTCTCGACTCTCTCGCGGGTTTCTCCGAATAAAATACTATTTTCAATAATATATACTAATGTTAATATACTATTTTTTGGACTAACATTCTTCCGAATATAAATATTTAAATTTTGTGTCTTAATTATGCACAGAAAGCTACGTTTTTCGTCGGCGAGTAATAAAAGTAGGGAAAATTAATTCGATATGTTGTAGAATGTCAGGAAACGATGCTGATGCGAAGCGATGTTCTCGGTAATCGACGTGTGCAATGTTGCTGTTGTTGCGCGTAGCATGTCAAAGAAATCGTCAAAACATCGCTCGTGAAAGCAAAGAGAAGTGAGAAACATTCCGTTCCCTCTTTCTCTCCTCGAGGAGACTCGATTCGGAGCCGCGAGATCCGAAGTCCCTGCTCCCTCTCTTTCTCTTTCTCTCTTCCTCGGGGTCCATGCCATGTGGATATATTTATCGTCCGTGTTCGCTAAAATCATTCCACGAGGCTCGCCTATGCGAACCGAGTCTTATCCAGAGCGCATTTGCATTCGCTGCATGCCCGCGACTCGCCTCTTCGAACATTAGTATGTCAAACGTCCGTGTGATAAACTCGCTCTTTTCTCGCTCTGGCACAGTAATTAAAATAGATTTTAATAAACATGATCTTTCCTGCGGTTAAAACCGCCCTACTTTAATTCCTCCGCGATAGATTTAAATAAAAAAAATCGTGACAGTGAAAATTTGCATTATACTAAACGAAGAAAGTTGTCCATCGTAACGAAGGATTTGAAATAGAAAAAAAAAAAGAAAATATCGAGGTTCCTCGCGCGAGTCCCAGTTATATATAATCGTTGTAGTAAAAGGAAAAGATGTAAACACGCTAAATTACATTAAATTACCGTATACGTGTCGTGGAGGCCGTACCGGCGCGGCGGCAGGACTACGTGAAAGTTTAAGGCCACGCGTTAATTGACCGAGCTAATTATCGCGCAGAACATCTTCGACACCGCGTACGGACCTGCGCTAATTAGCGAATTAATAGGCGAGCGGAAGCCCGCGATCACATCGCCGTAACAGCCATAAAACGCAAAGTCTCATCCACGCGCGCTTTCCTCCGAGGCTTACTCGCCGCCGCGGAGTTTCCTTCGCACGGTCGCGAAAGTAAGATACAATTTCAGCCTACGTGTCTGGACGCGTTTTTTCTCTCCTTTTTCTTTTACTACGATTACTGCAACGCGAGAACTAGCGGCTCTCTCGTCGCGTCGAGACGAGATTCACGGCCAGGGGAGCCTCTGGCCACGTACCTATTGTTGGTTCTTTCCTCCCATTTGCAACTCGCGATCGCTTTTGCGAACGACTTCTACGTCAGAGTGATAAATAAGCTGGTAGCTTTCTAGCTAAAGAGTGCATTCTCGCAGAAGCGATGCGTTTGGAAGATAACGAGATAATCGAGCGCCATTGTTCGACGATTAATTCCCCGTAACGTGGCGAGAGAGGGGTGGGATTAAAAAACGGCGGGGCAAACTTTCAATATTTTCCTTCGAGCCGGTCGAGAGTAACCATCTGAAGATGTTCGACCGTGTTGATTGGGATAAACTGAGTTAATGACCACAAGTTGCACGGCGAGAAGAACGAATCGAGTATCCATAATTTGTGAAACCCGTTCTGAGCATTGTTTTCAAATTCCATCTTGCGAATTGGATTTGTATAGGCTCGATCCACTTTCACTCCTGAAATTTTTACGTAAATCAGAAGTGAGAAATGATGAAACAACGGGCACGCAACCGCTTTGTCGGTCGAAGAGGTTTAGAAGAAAAAAATAAGAGAGGAAAATAATTATCGGCGAAAAATACACGTTTTCTTATTCTAAGAACATTCTTACGTCGCAATGATAATTTCCGCTTGACCATCTGTTCGTTGTATTTGCGAATTCACATACGATTTGGTCGTATCTAAGTCGTTATCCTTAATTTATCCCGTCAGTCTTGTTTGGCGCGGATAAACGCGCGTTTTTCCACGTCTCTACGCGACGCGGATGCCGCGCGACTTAACGATTCGTTTTATTGTAATGTAAACAGAGTCGCGATGGCGTGACATAAGTATAAACACATCCGTTTTGAACTACACCTTCTGCGGCTCGAAGTCGAAAAACACGGGTCTTCCCCTTTTTGAAGAAAAAGCTCTCATTTCCCGAGACGAAAAAAAAGGGAAAGAGCGGGAGACGCATCTGTAAGTAAACATCTGTAAGCAATTCGCTCGGCCACATACCGAGAATTAAGAAAAGAGAAAGTCGAGACCAAAATCCTGCGGTTTACAAAAAACTTTCCTCAGACTTACGGGGAAGGCATTGCCATGCGCGTCGACAATTACCTCATCCATCATTATCCTTTCTCTGAACGTTTATCCCTCGAGGAAGGAAGATCTTCAACCGTCTTCAACCCTCAAGCATCGACGTCTGTCTTCGCGACATAAACACAACAGCTTGAATCATCATATCGGATACGGAGTCTCCAGAACTCCCGTTACGTATTTTGTAATTTTGATTATTATTTTCTTTTCTAGAAAAACAAACAAAACTTTATCTTTGCACAGTTAACGCTGAAAAGTGATGGAAATATATAGCGACAAGTACAAAGTGGAGAACGGCTATTTATGTCTCTCTTTTTTTCATATTTAAAAGTAGCAGTCCTCTCGACAGTAAGAGTCCAATATCAAGGATTATTTTTTTAGATATCTCTCGCCACTTATTTTGTGATACTGATTAATTGTTTTCTCCTCGAGAAAAACGAATGAAACTTGATCCTGCACGATTAAAGATACAAGAAAATGCAGCGGCGCATACCAGAGCGAAGAAAAGTTCTTTTCATTTTCCTTTTCTTGTATATCTAAAAACAGAAGTCCTCAGGACTCAACGGCGTAATATCCATAGTTAAGATCTGAATATCAGAGATCATCTTTTTTTAGACAGACATTCCAACGTATGCAATGTCTACCTAGTTAAGGGTCAGTTGTTCCAACCTTTTGGTAAACTAACAGTTAAATCATATATATGTCTTTGTTTATCCTTTACATTAAACAAAGATAGACATATGATTTAACTATTAGTTAGATTACCAACAGGTTGGAACAACCGGCCCTAACACATTTACCGCCATAACACCGAGTCCTTTTGTTTATGTTTCGGTCATCAGTGACTGTCAAATAATTATCACACATCATACCTCTGTGCAACTCAGTGCTATAGCTGTAAATTAAGTATCTTATTCTTCTTCTTCTTAATATAAAAATATAAAATCAATCCGGCGTGAACGGAAAATCGGTAAAAGTAAAATTAGCTCGGCGATGAACGCTAAGAGGCGAATGTCAAGGATGATGTAAATACAACGGAGTATCAAGTTCCACATTTTTCCACATTCGGCGTATAATACGTCTACTTATAACTCCAGGCCAGACGTCGACGTTTCGCGAGGAAATTTTCCCGTTATCGCCGTCGTCGACGCTCGGGATTCCGCCTGCGACGAATTTATGAAACCATCACCATCAGCGAGATCGCAGCCTCGGCGGGACTCGGGAGGGTGGATCCGATATCGCCGAGGGCCAGGTGTGCGTGCGGTGGTCTAAACAACCGTGATCGATAAAGGAAACTGATCGCTTACCTCGAGCTCGCCGGTGTGACGATTATCCCCGATTACGGAGCCGCGCGGTCGGACGACCCAAGGATATCGAGATCCCGGAAGACGCGGTCGATACCGGGCGGGGAAGGTGCCCTCACGTTGTATCCTGTCCGCTCGTTAAAACCGTCCGGCGTAAACGGAGCAATCGCGGGGGGCGAGAGCGGTGCCGCGCGTCAACATCCGCAGTTCTCCGTCTCTTTTTTTAAACGCACACGCCTCGCACAGTTCGCTCGCCTCGTCGATTGCGAGTCGCAGAGGCGCGCAGTCGGCAGGTCTCCTAGGGTTCGCGACGGGGGATCGCGGAGCAGCCAGCAGCCTTGGAGTCCGAAACGGTCCGAACTGATCCGAACGAACGCACGGCGCAGACGGCGGAAGCAGGATAACGTGACGGCGGGATCGGGATACACCGCCGGCGCGATGGCGGGCGAGAAGGGAGGCAACCTTTTTTTTCCCCGCAGCGAACAGCGACAACTGGCGAGGAGCGGCAACGATCCTTGCGGCTCGGTCGTCAAAAATATCCTCTGCAGATAACGGCATCGTATGATCAATCTCGAAAAGAATCCCCAAGATAAACTTGGAGTCAACATTAAATGAAAAAAAGAACAGAAATATGAAAAAGGGGCGAGTTTATTTGAAGTCGCTTATCTCGTTGCGTCCCCAGGATATGCGAGAAATGTCGTGAAACCGTATTGCGAGACGAGATTAACGTGTCTCCGTAAGTTATTGAGAAACTCCGCTTTTATTTGTACTTAATATTAACTTAAAACGTGAACGGTAAATTAATTACTATCTGTATTAATCTGTAACGATGATTTTTTTTACGCAAGGTCTTTCATAGCGGGCGTCAAGGTCATCAGGAGGTCCTCCATCCGTTTTCTGTCGGTTTCCGTTGGCAATTTGGACCACAATCGTTCCAGCTTCCTCTCCTGATGTTTCTAAAAGAGAAGGAGAGAAGGCGAAGTAATATATTTTCTTTGTTAACTGGACTTCGTTGACGCAAGCAAGATAGGCGAATGTCGCATGCTTACTCTGATGAAGAGAAAACAGTGTTTCAGAGTCGCTCCGACGTAGAGGATCTTCGTTTTGACTAGTCGCTCCCCTACGTTGCTTATTAGCGGGATAGCGTGCAACGCGAATTTGTGAGGCCCATGCCTGAGCCTGACTATCGCTATTTTCGTTTGTACGTTGCAGTATTTCGCTGGGATAAAAGACAAGATTGTATATTTAGACATTTTAGACCAAAAAAGTTACGCTAAGAACAGATTCAAATCCATGAAATTAATATAATTACACAAAAAATATATAACAGTTTATATAAGTATCTTTTATATATACAAGCTAAAAATTTGTTATACAAAAGAGGAAAAATGTTTCATCATGTTTTATTTTATAGATATAAATAAAGACTAAGTAAATTCTTTATATCGATTTAAAAGGGACGTCTATTAAATATAAATTTCCTTTTCCAACAAAAAAAAATTTCAAGACTAACAAATAATAGTTTGCTAAGTTGGGAAAAATATAAAATATTGCACAGAGAAATATTATTACTTAGATTAAGATCTAGACTGACCAAAGATGACATTTGTGTTCTATTTATAATTGTAGGAAAGCAAGTACGTTTATCTAAAGAACTGTCATAACGTCCAACGTCAAATTACCATCAAAGCCATCCTTTATCGCTGCTACCCCCACGTCGCCGTACAATTGTTGCACCTTCCGTTTAATCGCACTAGACACGTGTGTGTTCTTCCACGTCGCCTGCTTGTCCTTGTCGTCGTACGGCTTTATTGTGAAAACGATGTATCTAAAGACAGTAAGTAACAGGCGATGAAGAAATGTCATCGCAGTGATTTCTCATCGTGAAAAATTGAAAACTTCGCAATTTTATCCTGTCACCTGTTTTTGAAGCGCACCATGTTTCAGGTTAACTCGGCGGCGAACGCGATTCCTGCCCGTAATTATGACGTTTACCAAGGTTCCGAATGCTCGGCGTGCTGCGGGGAACTGGGAAGGTCGAGAACGACGACGTATGAACGTTCCTCCCACGGGAATGGAAATGAGCACGAAGCGGATGATGCAGATTCGCGCTCTCGGCTACACGTGGTGCACGTGCGTCGGAGTCGGGTACGGCTGGGTCGCGTCGGTATCAAGCGCACGGCTTGGTACGGTGCACGTGCGTGAGCCACGCGTGTACGCGCCAGGATGCAGCGGTTTCCGCGCGACGACCGTGCGGAACGTTCTTCACGCCCGTCACGCATCAATCCCGCGTGTGCTTCCTCGCCAAGAAGCGCGAGTGACGTCGCGATGTCCACGTTGCCGTCGTCGTCGCGGCGTCATTTCGGATGACTTTCACCAGGAGTATGCAAAAAAGAGTTTCCCAATTGAATATGTAAGTATAACGGAGCGGACGTGGCGGTGGTAAGCGCGCGGAGATAATTCGCCTAGAGAGATACACGGATGTTCCTCCACGTCTCTGTACTTTAAGCGACGATTGTGACGTCGCGGAGATTGAGATAATTTTGCCTGGCGATTCTGAGACAATTTCCTGAGACAATTTCGTTGTTTAAGGTACCGGAGCACACCATATGTCGCACGTGTACAACACGCTAATTGCTATTTAAAGCTCTACTCGTGGCCGCTGATGATGCGACGACGATCCGCGAGAAGCAAGTAAATCACATTCGACTCGTCGTGTTCACCAACGTGGCGCATTATCCGCATGTGTGATGCTGGATTAAAGAAGTATTAGGCCGATAACGTTGCTACACTGTTTGAAGTCTTTATTCACTTCGCGCGTATCTCCTTCGCAATTAATGTTATCTCAGGGTCATGTCATCTTAGAATATGTGTCAATGATTAACGCGCGCTGTATGGTTGGCTGACGGTTGCTTCCTCCTTGCAGCCTCATGCCTAAGCTCGACGCGGAGCGCTTAGATGACTTTGCTCGACGCGAGATTGCGGACGCGATCTGGCCACACAGCTGCGACGGACATGGACTTCTTCGTCGGCGTGGATGTGGGAACGGGAAGCGTCCGAGCGGCTCTGGTTACCTCGAGCGGGAAAATAAAGAGGGTGGCTACGTGCCCGCTCGAGATATTTCATCCCGCGCCGAACTTCTACGAGCAATCGTCCGATAACATTTGGAGCGCCGTGTGCCACGTTGTCAAGGTGAATATGTGAGATTTTCCTCGCAGCACGATATCGCGATAGTCCGACAAATCCGGCTTTGAGATCTGATTTTTGTCCTGTTCGCAGTCGGTTGTGGCCGACATCTCCGCAGAGGATGTTAAAGGAATTGGATTCGACGCTACTTGTTCATTGGTGGCTGTGGATGAAGCGGGCTCACCGGTAACAGTTAGTCCTACAGGTACAAAGAAAAAAACTGGCGGATATTTCTTGTTTCGACTTTCGTGTCGAATTCATGTAACGGTAGTAATTGCTGTGATGTGGAAAATTGAGGCGCTAATTGTTCAGGACAGGAGAAACAAAATGTCATACTGTGGATGGATCACAGAGCGCACGAGGAAGCTGACCTTATCAACTCTATGGTTCACGATATACTGCAATATGTAGGCGGCAAAGTTTCCCTCGAGATGCAAACGCCGAAGATGCTGTGGCTAAAAAAGAATTTACCCGTTTCTTGGAACTCGGCAGCGCTCCTGTTTGACCTACCAGACTTTTTAACGTGGAAAGCTACCGAATCGGAATCGCGGTATGAATCCTTGATGCTCAAGTTCTTTAATAAATGAGAAACAAGACGGGAGAGAAGTTCGAATTCTTAATTCTTGTTTCAGATCGTTGTGTTCGTTAGTATGTAAGTGGAACTATAGCGCCAATCCCAATGGTAGAAACGGATGGGATGAAGATTTCTTTGAACAGCTCAATTTACGGGACCTGAAGAAAGATAATTGGAGAAAAATAGGTATGTTGTCATATTGAATTTACTAAAAATCGAGTTTTTACAAAGAAAAATGTTTTTTAATAATGATGAAAAATAATTCTCATTAATGATAAAGAATTTCAACTCCAACAATATGTATGAGTAATTCAAATTCTAAAGTATTCAGTTATCTTTGATATTACAAAACATTAGTATAATTTGAACGTGTTATATAAGAACTGTATATGACTGAATTCTTATTTTATCTTAATAAAAGCTAATGTTAATGTCAAGGTAACGATGTAAGGGTACCTGGTGACGCGATTGAATCCGGACTGTCGGCGAAAGCCGCGGCAGAATTGGGATTACTGAAAGATACACCGGTTGGGACCTCGCTGATCGACGCGCATGCCGGTGGTCTCGGGATGATCGGATGTTACGCGTCGGATGTGTCCCCGAATTTCTCCAACCGATTGGGTGCGCAAGATACTATTGACGATATGCGTTGCTCCAAAGCTACAAAGAAAAAGAATCAGCATAAATTGTCTTGTAATGTCTAGCTTTGATTTGCGGCACTTCGACTTGTCACATGATAGTGAACGAAAACAAGATATTCGTAAATGGCGTTTGGGGCCCGTACTACAGCGCGATGGTGCCCGGTTTCTGGCTCAACGAGGGAGGTCAAAGTGCCACTGGAAAATTACTCGATCACGTTATCGACACGCACCCCGCGACGCCGGGAATCCTGAAGACTTTGGGCGGCAATAAGTGAGTTTATCGAAACGAGACTGTGAAACGTTATGTATACGAAAGTCATTTGTTCCAGACACATTCAGCAATACTTGTCCGAATTGTTGCACGTTATGGCTGAGCAGAAAAATCTGCAGAATGTGTCGTATCTGACGAAGGATATACACGTGTGGCCGGATTTCCACGGTAATCGTTCGCCTCTTGCCGATCCAACGCTAAAAGGAATGGTATTGAGACACATACATATTTTATTGAGTCTTGAATATGTCTTTAATACGGATATAATTTTATACTATTATCTATATCTTAGATATCCGGATTATCTTTATCTGTGGATGAGGAGAATCTAGCGTTATTATACTTAGCAGCGGTGCAGGCACTAACGGTACGTCATGTGAATTAAAAGTAATCATTCATTAAAAAACTCATCAATATAAAAAAAATTATTTAAATTAATTATCTTTGTTATTTTATGTGGAAACGAACGAATATTTTTTTGAAAGATTAATAGATTTAAAAATTAGATATTAAAATGATTTTTTCATTACTATATATATATATATATATATATATATAAAATCATCTTATTCGCGATAAGATTTTAACTCTGTAAGACGTTGGTTGTTAATGCATTAGGAGATACGATAATTAGTAATGTAATGTAATTCATTTTTTGATTAACATTATAACATTGTATTTTTCAGTACGGTACAAAGCATATAATCGAAGTCCTATCGGCGGCCGGTCATAATATAGAAAGTATATTGGTTTGCGGTGGACTCAGTCAGAATCCACTATTTATCCAAATACAAGCCGACGTGTTAGCGTTACCGGTTCTCTGCCCCGTGGAGCGAGAATCGGTTTTGGTAGGCGCGGCGATCCTCGGTGCATGTGCCACGAAAAAATATTCCATGCACGAGACTGTCCAGAGAATGGCGGGATCGGCGAACATAGTGAAACCGACGAGCGAGTGTTACAAGTAAATATAAAATTTATAAGTGCAAGAAATACGAGAACAGTCCAAAAAAAAGTATTGCATTTCTACTTAAAATTCGGATAAAATAAAAAGGCTTTAAGATTACTGAAAAAAAAAGAGATATTTCTATATTATTATTTGTGATTTATCGTATAATCTAATTTTTCATACGTATCTGCTTTTAATTATTTCAGATATCACTTTCGGAAGTATCGCGTATTCAAGAAAATGGTCCAAGACCAACAAGAATACAGGAAATTAATGAGTGAAGAATTATAGCCTATTCTTCCGTTCCTTTAGCCTAAGCAGATTAAGAATAGACTGTTTAACAAATGTTTTTATTAATTGGGAGAAGTCTGAGTGAAGATGAACAATCTGCGAATACTCGATAGATATTCAGAAAGAATCTCTGAAGCGTTTAGAATGCGTACAATGTATAAATACTAGAGATGGGTTTAATATTATAGAAATTTAAAGATTCGGATCGAGGATCTTGCAAAGAAACAATATTCCGCTGGAAAGTATCGATGTCACATCTGAAATAATAGGTCTGTTCGTTTTCGTTGCGCACTTCTGAACTAGTGCGATAAGTTGGAATGAAAAAACATATATTTGTTTCATTCTAACTTATTGCACTAGTTCAGAAGTGCAGTGAAAACGAACAGGCCTATTATTTCCTCTAATATGCAACGCGTAAGAACAATTGAACATACTTACTGTAACGTTAATGTTGTTTATGACAGTAATAGTTATAATGCACAGTTTTCGATTTACTACGTCGCCCTTATAATGCAATCATCAATGATCTAAAGTGCTGATATATAATATTGATTTAATGTAGTAAACTTTGCGGCGATGAATGTTCCTTTGCAGTCGATCTAATTCATCTTGTGATCTGAAAAAAACAGCGCCGTTATTATATACTTTTATTTTCATTTAATTTTGAACTTCTATTTTGTAATAGTAGAAAAATATATGGGAATTTATATGCCGAAGAGATGTTAATTCATGTACAACCACATTGCCACACAGGTTCTCCATCTGCATTATACTTTATATTGTGCATAGATATTTTTCGCTACAAATTATATTCTAGTAATAAATTCCTCTAAAGAACAATACGAGTTATGCCCATGATTTCTAAAGCAAATTAGAATCGAATATCTTCAGTGACATAAAGATGAAGTAACACCAAAGAAATGGGATCGGGAATTTGGGGATCAAGCGGTTTCTACATAGCGTGCTATTTATAATCGACAGCTACAAAAAGACATCCGAATCTATTTATATAGCATCTATCATTGGATGAATCGCGGTTACTTTTGGACATCTTTCATAACATTTATATACATATTTTGTCTCTATTTGTCAAACAGCCTGTATTCAAAACATATTCAAAACAATGTACGAAATACTTATATTAGTATTGACAGCCTCCTGTGGTACAATTTGAGCAAAAGCACTGTGCTTCACTATTACATCATTCGTCATTCGCACGATCGTATCGCTAAACATCTACTTTCATTCTTACGTACTAGATAAATACATCCCTCCAATCGTCGCTGAATAAATACATTAATTATTATTCTTTCTTACATACAAAATGTATTAACGTACGCACTAATTGCCTGAACTTACAGACTAATTCGATATCTTCACCTTTCGTCCAAATTAACTTCTTTATTTTCGGATGTTTCATGATTTACTGATCTTATTAAATTTATCTTATAAGCGCTGACTTATACAGAAATATATCGTGGAACGATATATATAGAATTGATGATATTTAACTATTTACCGGGCTAAAAATAAATTCATGTTCCGTTGAGAAAACTGATTTCAATATGTAAATATTAAAGAAAAAAATGTCCTTATTCCTGTCTTCGTATTTTACTCTGCATAATTAAATCTCTGACTCGTAACTTAATTATGTCAGAGGTCTCCTATATTCAGCTACTCCATAAATGCGCGTACCTTTTCTAATTGCATTGACTAGATTTTATAATACTTAGGAACTAGCGAATTTTAATATTATTTTTATGCTTATTCGTCATTGTCATACTATACATTATATTAAAGACAAATGCACAATTGGATTGTTAACGAGGGCGAAGAGACGAATATAAAAAATTTAAAAAACTGTATATATGCGAATTAAATATAGAATATCAATTTTTAAAATATAATTTACAGTTAAAATGAAATATTATATATTATTATTATATACAAATTATTCCTTTTTGTGCGATATAATGCATATGATATTAGGTAGATGATATTATTTGTATTGCAAAATGAAAAAGTTCGTTTTAATTACACGTGAATTGTTTAAAACTTTGATAATATAGTTAAAAGAGCTGTTTCAAAAGTTTTTGAGACAATTTTTATAATATAGTCAGCGCGAATAAATTTTTGCTTGATAAAAAATTTTTAATTACCTCGCCCTTTCGTTGCATAATTGTTATAATAATCGCGTTCGCTGTTACATTTCACATGAATTCATTAAATTACAAAGAGATACATTATTAACATTGCACTATTGTGATTTTTCTACAGAATTAAAAATCTAAAAGTAAATAACCGATAAATATATCCTAGTATTGTGAGATTCGGTTCAACTAATTACGGTGTATTAAATTAAATTAATTTTATTTAGTAGAAATAACTAATTTCATGTTGCACTGAAGAAACTGTAACTCCCGTTTATTTTCGCACGCATTATTAATATATATATTATATATAATATATTTCATACAGATTTTATATTCTTTTCATTGCGTATAGAAGTATATCTTCAATATTCTCAGATATAATTTCATTATTGTGGCTTTATTATAATAATTTATAGGATAATTATAGATATGTCACGGTTTCTTTTCGTAAAGACTTCCCGGACGGCAACTGTACGCTCATAACTTTTAGAGATATCGTTTCTTTTTTTCGTTTTACGGTGGCAAATCTAGTATTTACTAAACTACAAAATTAAATAATCTAACTACGATATAAATAACAAACGGAACACAATGACTTCTATTATATACGGAGTTCTTAAATTATTTTATAATAACGCTGTATTAAATCAATACAACAAAAAGATATGTATTTTCTTGCAATTTAATGCAATTTGAGAAGATTAAAACTTGATGAAATTAAAGACTACATCATCGGAAGCAAGATTTCGGAAAAGTTTCGTTCGAACGCTATATGGACTAAACGCGGCGCGCTCTGATGATATGACTGTAATATATATGTTCCTATATCAGGTTACAGATATTCAGGCGTAGTAGATATCGTATTTGACAAGTACCAATAAGTACTTGATACACAACGAGAATTGACTCCGTTCCGTTTTCCTGCTTACGATATGTATGTATGCGACACGCGTGGATTTTAGTACCAGCCGAAATCCATACCCGCCAATTGATAAAATCGCTGATTGAACGGCCGATAGAAATCTCGAAGACGCTGAATCGCCATAGGATCGATGTAGGGATGACTGCGACCCTTGTTTTTTCCTGAAAAAAATAACGAGCAATCAATTAATATTAAATTTATAAATAATTAATTTATAAAGTTACATGATTCTTTAATATTCTGCGCAAACAAGTAGAGATCAAATGATACATACATTCCATAAAAAGTTTGAGGAATTTTACTGTAAAAGATTAATCGGAAAGACCGATCACTGAGAGCTTCATCGTTTTTGTTGAAGAAGTATTGTACCATTTAAAATCAAAGGAAGACAGCGCTCTAAAATCTATGAAACGCATTCTACTTATTTCTCCAAAAATGGATTTTTAATGACAAATAATTGCGTGCTAGAAGTCCATTTATCCGCGCATCTCCCTCGACTATCCCTACCGAGACAGTGCGGCGTCGCGCGGTCCTCCGACTTGAGCAAGCAGGGAAAGCCCTTAGTGGCGTTGAAGTAGAAGTGTTTCTCGCATATCACCCGCTTCAGGCCCAGGAAATCCTGCACCCGGGTGATCTCCATCACCGGGTCGGCGATCAGACGTTCGCCGGACACGAATAAGAACTGCGTAAGCGGGAAGTATTGCAGCCACCGCTCCAGATGCCGCACGTAGACCCCGATCTTCAGCGGCATCCAGGAGGTGTCCACGATCCTCGAGCCGTTCAGGAAGGCCAGATCCTCGAAGCGCGGCATTTTCCGACGCTTGCTCTTCACCTGCGTGTAATCGGAGATCGCCCGAGTCACCGGGTCCCTCACCACGACGATCAGTTTCATCCCCGGGTTCATGTGCTTCACCCTCTTCGGCACCTCGCTCGTCACGAAGTACGACGGCGTCTTCTCCATGGTGATCTGACCGACCAGAGTCGGCGGCATCCTGCGCCTAATTACACACCAACGTGTTTTATTGTATACCAGCGTTATTAAAAAATTAAATAAAATAATTATAATTAACCCGGGAACGGGCTCCAAATTTTCTTTTGTATAAATGCATTTATACCATGGTCACTTAACTTTTTACACCTCAATTAAAAGTCATTGTTATTAATTACACATTGCATATTTTTCATTGTTCTGTGAATAATTAGTATTTGAGGACAATTATGTACAGATTCGCTCAACATTTTCTGAAAAAAGTAAAGAGAGATTTAAAAAAATATATTTAAAGCTTTATTTTTTCGATACTGGGCTGTAAAAATCACCTCAGGCGCCCGTTCCCGAGTTAATCACTTATAACTAATTATTTACAATAAATTACTATAAAATAAGTTAGAGATTTGTAGATGGGTTTATACGTTTATATTTACAAAAGCTATCTTCACTTGAAGAAGTTATTACTTTATACACTTATATGTAGAAGTAGTATTAGCGGAGGAGCAAGCTCAAACTTATATCTCAGAACTTCGTAATGTCGAGGTCTTAAAAGCTTTAAATGGGATCAGTGTCGTGTTGCGCTTCGATCGTTGAAACGATTAGTCGCACGCACCTGTACCAACGGAATCCTTTAACGTAATGATGATCGAAGAAATGAACCTCGGAGCCGGCGGCGCGAATCGCGGGGTGCAATCGCAGGAACTCCAAAAGGGCCCTCGTCCCGCCTTTCTTCACGCCGATTATCAGGGCGGTCGGTAATTGCCGGCTTGGTACCAGACCCTGTTGCTTAAGCGTCTGATATCCCGATACACCTCTTTCGGGCGTACCGCTGGCGTTTCGGGACGAGAGAGGCTGCGGTCTTTTCAGGTCCGTCCGGCCGTCCGGAAGTGATGCCTGCTCGATCCTCGATCGTTCGGGACTCTGGTACAAGACGTTCCTCGGGGAGATCCGCGTTTTCTGCAGCGTGATCCTCTGCGATATGTCGGCCAGCATGTGCGAGTGATCGACGAAGAGCATCCACAGGTAGATGACCAACGCGCACACGAGGATCACGATCTTCCAGGAGCCCTTGCGCAATTCCATCGTCGTCGTCGTCGATTTTTACGAGTCGTCGTACTTGGTCGGCCTCCTGGATGCCATTATATCGCCGCGGTGTCTTCTGTCAGCCTCATCGACGCCGACACGCTCGCACCGATGCCGTCTGAAAGATATTCCGATATCTTGTTTACGTGGCCGCGTGATCAGACGGGAATAATCTTCGCTCGTGAATTATGCGCGGAAATGCAACTGGTGTATCCGGCAGCGGGTGAAAAATCGAACGCGATAGCATCCGCGACATTTAAAGGACCCGGTGTATCAGTTTCCCTTTTAAATTTTAATACAAGACGGAATTGGAAGATGTATACTCGGGGTCTTCCCCCTATAAAGAGAACACCGCAAATTCAAGTGTGTTATTTTGGCTGAAGCTTTTCTCACACATTTCTTGCCGTTTTGAATCACGTCATATTTAATATTGAACGATTGAACGTGTTATATACAGCGTAATTTGACAGATGAAGAAATATGTAAATGAAGCTTCAGTCAAATGTGTCATTTTTAGATGTTTTCGTGTGTAGAAGATAACACACTTGGATTTGCAGTGAAGACACCCAAATAGCAGAGTGACGTCAAAAAACATATTAATAACGTATTAATGACATCTCTAATGTTAACCAATACTTCATTAAGACGTGTTTAATATCCTGCTACCTAGACAGTAAGAACAACGTGAGCTTAAATTGAACAAGAATTTAGTTGAGTATATGTATAATTTCCCAATTACATGTAATCAAAAATTGATGAAGGAAAAATTTGCCATGTGGAGATATTCGGATAAATCATCTGCGTGTCTCCTTCCTTTTTATGGAAAAAGCTATCGTAGTTGCGAAAGAAGCACACAAAATTATAGCAATTATTGTAATATTTGCTATAATTTCCCCGTGCATTCTTTTTTGTAACTACAGTGTATTTCTGTAGTCTAAAACAAGGAATACGCTTTCAAGATGTACAATCAAATTTAAAATAGAAAAAATAACTTCCTCCGCCAGTGATTAAAAATAAAAAATATTATTTTGTTGCTCGACTAACCGGCAACAATATAAATAGTAAGCACTACGTTTCGACTCTAGGTTTAAGTGCAGTCCTTCTCAAGTGCAGTCTAAAAAATTAGGAACATAACGTCATATAATACAATAATTAATATATAATCAGTAAAAAAATTATCAAATTTAAAATATAAGGCAAATAAGAGCAAAACGCCAATATAAAATACAAAAAAGTAACTTTAATACAAACATAGACACAAATTACAGACATTTCGGTCTTAAAGTTTAGGACCTTCTTTAGTGTAACAATAAAAAATATAGATCCTTAAAACGAGTCATTTCCCTATATTTTAAATTTAATTGTCTTTCAGTAGTATTTTTCCATAAGGCTTGTTTCGGAAAAATATATATATCTTTTGGTTTTAAATAAGGTCTTTTTATTTTAAAAATAAAAAGATATCAAATGTAATTTATGATGCGGAGACGATTGTAATAAGAAGATACACGGAGTAAACTTGAGATATTTTCATGTTCTTGAAACTACTCCTCGAGATTCGGGATATTCGAATATTTAGTCTCAAAGTCTCGGACAAAAATGCATTTCTCGAAAATTACACAATCTCAGCTCACACTAAAAAAAAAGCTCCGTAATACAGATACATAATGGATCCGCTTCGTTTCTCGCGGCTGAAACGCACTCCTACTCCTATTTCCATAAAACGCAAAGCAGGTTCGCGCAAAGCTTCGTCAAGCTCCGTTCTTATATTCCTTTTGCTTGGAAGTGCAAAATAAGATATGCAAAACGGTTCTGTCCGATTCGCTTAACTTGAAAGCGGAATAAATTACAGAGAACATTTATTACAGTAAATAATTTTGAGTTTGAAGAAAAATGTTCGCCAGCTCTCCGCGGAATTTCCGAAAAAACGCCGAAAACGTCGGGGAGAGACTCCCGGTCGTCGGTTTTCCCGGAGGGATGTCCGCGGGGTCGCCCCGACCGAATCCGAAGTTATTCCCCAAAGGGAGGCTTTCGCGAGGAAAGAGAGAGAGATATGAAGGATATCGTCGCACTTACCCCGGAGTAGCGTGCCGCCGGTCGGAGACGCGTTCACTTTCACCCCGTGCGCGTCCGTCATCGGCCAACGTGCGACTGGCGCAGCCGGCGGAGGGTTGCGGATGATGCGGGCGCGCGGTCTCGCGCGCGGATAGCGTACATTTAGCGCGTTATCAAACGGCACGGGGCAGACCCGTAACTGGTCCACACGGCCCACCCGTCACCCGTCGCTCCTCCATGCCCGGCGCCCGTCCGCCCGCGCCGCTTCTCGCCGCCGTCATGCGTGTTGCATCCCGCCGATGAGACGGGAAGTCGACGGCGTCGCGGCGTCGCGCGCGTATACGCCGAGATATCTCCCTTATCCCGCGAGATGAAAGGAAGCTGCGGGAACACATCGCGTTTCTCTGTTCCGACAGCGAACAGCGAACCGCGCAGACTATATCGCGGTCGTGATCGCTCGTTGCCCCGTTTCCGCGGATCCATCGGCTTCTCGCTAAATTTTAGGCAGCGACAGATTTCTCTGGTTTCTCCTTACTTTTTTAATAATTATAATAATTATATTAATATGAGATTTTCCTTTTTTTAGTTGCTTCTCGGAAACGGGGGCGTTGGAAATAATTCGCGGGTAGGCGCCGCGATCCTCGGCTACGGTTCTGGCGACGGTGTTCGTAACAATCGATAACGCCCGGCCGGCTGGGAGAAGGGAGACCATCGCCCTATATAATGCGCCGTGTAGGGATAAGATTTATATCTGCCGATGAACAATCAGGCTAATGAGAGCGCGAGAGCGACCTTCCGCTGGACCGAGTCTCGCCCTGTCATCGCGTATTACATCGTTAACCGTTGTATCGAGAAACGCGACGGCTGTTGTGTCGCGCGCGTGCAAAGGGGTGTCGATCGCGCATATAGGGTGGACAGGAGGGTGACTTTTCGAACGACAAAAGCTTTTTAAATCATTTTTGAATAAACAATCGTTCTACACAATTTTCACTCGCGATATGAAAGGACGAATTTTAGGTCTGGTACAGTCGGACGATCTAAAGCGGATGATGATCGATGACGATCTCCAAAATTAAACTGTAATTGTAAATTTATCGCAGAAATCGCGAAGAACGTCTGCACGTTAATCTAAACATTTTGATTCTTATCTCTGACTTAATTGCGACTGTGTGACGTGGTTTTTTACAATATATGCGTCACTGATTTTGAGAAGATTGTTTCGAAGCTAATTGCGTTCTTTCTTTACGTTCCCTTATAGAAATTTAATACTGTGATTATTTGGCTAGTAATTAATTACTTATTTTGAGTATTGAAATCATTAAAAACAGTACTTTTAATACTCAAAATAAGTAATTAATCACTAGCCAAATAATCACTTACAGTATTAAATTTCTGTAAGGGTTGGAGACTGGAAATGACTGGAAACAAATTAATACACGATTACATAATAATTACATATTAATTGACATGTATAATATATTATATACATATGCAGGATATAAAACAAACTATATTGCAATTTATATACATTGTTCAATTATATACAGACTTACCGCTTGTAAATCTATATCGAGTGGACGAAGCTTATCCACGATAGCACAGATGCAGACGCTATTAAGTAATTTACCACAGGATTCTATAATCTTGTTTTATGTAACGTAATTACGCATAGTTGCAGCATAATATTTCTCTGCAGATTAATATCGGCATTATCTCGCCGAAGTAGCACGCCGCATTAAATCCATCTTTCAGCGATACGAGAGCCCATCTCGCTGCCGAAAGAACGCAACAACTTTTGCTTTTGCTATTATATTACCGCATCGCTTAAAACCCTGTTTGTTTAATTTACTTAAAATTAAATTGTAAGCTCTCATATAACGCTGTTACAGTTTTAATAATAATATTAAAATTAAAATTATCTTTACAATTATTATTACAAAATATAGATATATGTATAATTAATACTATTTTTTACACCATACAGCGTTTGCTAAAAAATTTTTTTTGTTAAACCATGCAGTCATATAATAGAAAAAACTTTTTTCTTTTACCAATCAAGAATATTATAAATTAGTTGCGTTTTGCGAAATTTTTTGTCGACGCGTGAGATGAAGCACGCGTCGTCGATGCAATAAACGTTTTTTAAAAATTCACGAGAGATCTATCATATTCCCGTAACAAGCGTCACGACGGAAGCTACGATCCGCCGAATATCTCTCCGCCAGACATTCCCAAGGAACACATTGCAGTCAAAGTGACATCATTTTCTCGTCATATTGATATAAAAGTAACGTAAATTTGGTCAATATGACGTCAAATTGACATCATTTTGACTTCCTGTTCTCCTTAGGTTGTTTATAAAATTATCACAGTATTGTTCGAACTTATTTTACTTATATGTACACGCGTTCCTAGAATACAGGGGGTGTGCTACTTTGCATAAAGCAGTAGGCGTATAAAAATGTACAATGGAAACTTCTTCCTGCCGCGAATCTCAAACAGCGTAAGGGGTTTAAATACGAGAACGCTGAGTGATATCGATTGGAACGTTACGCAGATGTTCCCGCTTCATCACGGAGTTAAATAAATACTTGGACGAGACAAGAATTTGAACGAGGATCTATAGAGATATTTGAGATGTCTAAAAGGCGCCTTTTTAAGCCGCATTTTAATTTTTCAGACGTTTCCCAGTCGCTCCCGGAATTTCCTGTCGTACAGGATACTTCCAAGCTGCACTTCTACATATAATATCTCTCCCTCTTCGAGATACATAACAGTATACATGTATATTATATACATATACCGAGATATTTGAAATCTATTCGACATATATATTTATATATGCTTCAACTTTTCTCTGCCTTCTCCGATTGCTTCCGCTACCCGCGCGAATCAAGATTTCGCCAGTATTTTTTCGCCTAGATCCTAAACGAGGATTTAAAGTTGAACTTTCAGGCATTGTCGTTACGATCGATGATACCTTCTACGTCATTCTATCGTCGCTTTCGTTGTTATTTGGAACTTCAAGTCGCGAGATACCGCCGAACTGACGACGACGTAATAAATACACAAGTTGCTTCGTAAAATTTCGTTTTCATGACGATTGGATTTGAAGAGATTCACGTACGGGCTGCCTCGCAGTCCAGTCGACCGCGACCGATTCAAAGAATCGGAATTATAAAAGTCTCCCAATTCTCGCGTATTTGGTAACCGGCTGTCGCATCCGGATAACAGCCTCGAGGAACATGGTATGAAAGTACGAATGCACCTTTTACGATCGGAAGCAATATTTCGACCGTGCCGTAAGACTTCCATTGATCTACTTCATGTAGCCCTTCTCCTTCAGTAGATCGTCCAACGTTTCCTGATTGTAGTAGACGACAAAATCCGTGGGTTCGACGCCCTCGAAGACGGCGTATACCGACGGCTTTAGATTGTAGAAGAAGAGCGGCTGGCCCCTCTTGGCGAAGTCCTTCGTCAGGATCTCGATGACCGTGGCGGCCGTGAAGTCCGCACCGTAGATATGCGAACAGTCGATCACTACAGGCGTCGCGACGCTCTCGGCGCGTCGGCTGTACTTGGTTACCAAATTGCGAACGTAGTCCACCGACGGGAAGATCAAGCAACGATCCGGCGTCAGCATTAAGTACTCGATACCGTGAAGAGTCTGTCGGACGAAAGAAAATAAAATAAGAACGGGTATTATCACGCCGAAAGACACACTGTTAAATATTTAAATGATGAAATTTAAACGAATAAGCCTTGAGTTAAATAATATTTTGTTATTTTTAACCACCATGTGCCAAGATTTATTATTTTAACGCAAAACAGTATTATTTCAACTCAATTGATTTAGTTAAATTAACGACACATTGAATGAGAGCAGCGGTGACCTATAGGAATGGTTAAAAATAATGACTCAAATTGAGTGTAATTTAATACTACATGAATTTAACAGCGTATCACTCAAATCCGTAAAGAATACGAGCTTGAATAAATAGCAGTGTGAAAAATTGAAGAGTTAAGGCAAACGCTCGCGAATGAGAAATCGATTTCATATTTCAAGCAAATCAATAATTACCTTGAGTTTCTCCACGGATATTTTCGGCCTGGCGGCGTGATACAGGATGAAGAGAATATTTATCCCGACACCGCAGAGGATGCCGATCTCCAATTGCAGCACCAAACACGCGATAAACGTTCCCAGCCCCGGGATGAGGTCGGATTCTGCGAGAAGGAGGAACAAGTTAATTTCGTGGCGTATCGCAAATTTATCTGGTATCTTGTGAGAGGTATGTGCGCTCTTACTTTTCGTCCTCCACATCGGCTTCACCACTTTGACTTCGACCATGAAGATGACCGCGGCGATAATGATAGCCGCCAGAGTGGCGCGTGGAATGAAACTGAAGTACGGGGTGAGGAATAGCAAGGCTAAAATTACCAGCACACCTGAAATTCCAGATTGTTACTATACTTAGTCTTCATCAGCACAATCGAATAAATTAAAAAATAAACGAATTAAGATGTTGACATGCTACGAGAGAGTTACAATTAGTATTTGCTGTTTTAATACTGTCATAAATGTCATAATATTACATTCCAATAATAAAATAAGGTTTAAATTTACATAATTTTTTTATAAAAAATTCCAACTCTGATTAAAATTTAATTTGCACGAATAATTTAGTTTTTCTTTTTTTGTGTTCTGCAGGATAAGGCTCGTTTAAGACACTCGTCCTTAAAGGGTTAACAAAAGACTTGCTTCTGGGCAAATTCTATATTATCGAAGAAATTTAGCGAGAGCGCAGGAAATCTTTGCAAGATATCATTCTCCGATTTTTCTCCACTTTCAACTTTCCAACTCTACAGGATAAATGGATGCAACAATTGATTTGCGGAGAAGCCACGAACGGAACTCACCAGTATAAACGCCGCCGAACGGCGTCCTGACACCGGAAGCGTTGTTCACCGCGCTCCTGCTGAGGGATCCCGTGCCCGGGAAAGCTTGCATGAAGGAATTTCCGATATTCGATATACCGATTGCTATCAGCTCCTGCGTGGCGTCCACCGATTTTCCGTTAGCTGTAAAAATGCAATAAATAATCGTTCTAAACGAGAAGTTCCAAGCAATTCGATCACATTGGGATAAAAGGATAAATGTCGGCCCTTCGCGATAAAAGTTCTGGTCAGTTCTCAATGCAAAATTACGCGGCCGAACACGCAACTTTCTGAGGCTTGCTTACCAAAGGCCTTGCAGATAGCGATGTCTTCCATTAGAGAGATGAGCGGTATTACGACGATGCCGCTGCCCAGATTACCGAGCATCTCGATAAACGTGACCGTCGTATTGTCATCGTTGGCGAATCCGAATGGCGGAACTTGTACAGCAGGCATACCTCCCGGTATGTGGCCTGAAATAAGAAATTTTACTTTTAGGACACTCTATCGGACATTCGAATCTTATGATTTATTAAGATTTAATAACAACTTCTCTTTCAACAATATACATGCAATCAAAATAAATTTTGTATACATTTTATCTCACTATAATTCATAATCGAAATTTTTCTCTTTTTTCAAAAATTTTGCATTTATTTATGTCATGTTACGACGTGATGTGCCTGTTATTTTTGATAAAAGTTTATTTTGCGGTCGGGTTTTTTCGAAAAAATATATTTTATTTGCTTTGCATACCAATCAATCTGACAGGCGAGTTATTTTGAAAACTCCAGCCCAGTAAACCGCAAATTACTACTAGGAGTGCATTTCGCGAGGTGCCGATCAGCCAGATGATTTTATTCACGACTCGATGTTTGGTAGTATGATGCTCCTCCTTTTTCGGGCCGATTTTGCACGAGGCTAATAACTGCAATCACACGTAAAAATATTATTTTATTGCAATAATATTAATATTAATATTAATATTAAATCGCTTTTATCGTTAATTAAGTGTTTCCCGTTAATAATTTTAATCGCTTTCTCTCTCAAAGTTATCACAAATATTTATTTAAAATAAAGCTATAATTTATTTCCGTTCGCGTTTTAAACGAGATGCTCGCTCTGCATTAAATTTATATTCTACACGTGCAATATCTAAATCGCTTGATTTAAATTTAAATATTTACGTCACGTTTCGAGAGGATTTTAATAATTTCTCGCAATATATACATTTCTCGTAATGCCGTATTGATAAATTACCCTCAGAATTAATAGCAGCGCTATGCAGGATGCTCCAAGAGTAGCGTCCCAGGCGGATGTCTGATGTATCAGTCCACCGATACTCCGCCACATCTCGATAAATTGAGAGCCCTTTGCAGGAATACCGAGGAGGTCTTTGACTTGCGACGTGACAATTATCAAAGCCACCGCCGACGTGAACCCGGAGCTTACCGGTCCGGACACGAAATCTATTAGAAATCCTAAAAAACAAGAAACAACGAAATATGATCTCAAGTTTTCACACGATAAAAACGGGATTTGAAAGAGAAAGCGACATTTTAATATTAAATAGAATGAGAAAATGTATTTTATCTCACGTTTGAAAATATTAAAAAATTCAACTAAAGCACTACTTGATACTCTTATTATTAAATTTAATTTTTCAAAATTATTAATTACGGAGTTAGTTTAAGTAAAACCTTTTAATGTTTTTAATTCACGTCAAATAATTAATTCGCCCCGCTCTTTTTATGCAATTTCATATTCAACGACGGGTTCTTTTAAAAATACCGAGGTGTTTTAGGATCTCTCAAATTAAATTAATCTTGATAAATTGCTAACGACTTACCAAGACCGAATATACCCATTATTAATTCCACGATTCCGGCCAGAAAGCACAATAGAATCGCATGCGGCACCGGAGCGTCCAAATGAGACACTGTTTGATAAGTTAACAAAGATATTATGGCAGTGGGCCCCATGGGTATGTCCTTGCAGGATCCGAAAATCACGTAGATGAAACAACCCAGGAAACTGCCGTATAAACCATACTGAAACAAAAGATTGATATACATCCGTATCTAAAAAAGGTATGTAAAAAAATATAAAACCGGTAATTTTTTTTTCTTAAAAAAGTCCAGCCTAGTCATCATCTATCGCTTTTCAATGTCGATCTTTGTAAGCAACTAAAATTTTATCAAATTAAATCTATCTGTAAAATTAATTAAAAGACAGCCATTATTTATTTCGTATCTCTTGCAAATTAGTATAAGAATCTTCATACTCTTCTTTTTTAAGATCTCGATTTCGTTCTTCCTTTTCTATTAATTAAGTTAAGTGAAAGAAACATTTGGCCAAACGTGCAAACGTACTAACGTAATCTCGTCGCAATTCTTATGTAAATCTCCGTAAGTCATTGCGCGAGCGATAAACGTCTCGTCGCTAGTTTATGTACCTGCGGCGGTAAACCGGCGACGTTCGAGTACGCCAGCGACTGAGGAATGACGGTGAGGCCCACGGTGATCCCGGCCACCAGATCACCGAGCGCATCTTGAGCGTTGTACCTTGGCAGCCAGTTCAGGACCGGCAGCCTCTTGTAAAGGGTTTTCTTCGTGCATATGGCCCTGGCACGCCGCCTCGCGTGCTGCAACGCCGATGTCAGGAGGCCTTCCTTCTGCTTGACCTCGTCATCCCCCGGCTCTTCGATCACTGTTCGCACACGGCAAATAAATTTATAATATGAATATAATAGCATAAAAATTTACGTCATCCTTAATTTTAGCTGTTATTATATAATATATAAATTCAACCCTTTATTTATTTATATTTCTCAGATATATATCGCGTAAAAATTCATTTTATAAAGAGTCTTGTAAGTTCAGTCGTAATTTTTCACTTGTCAATTTATATAATCTATTGATTTAAACACGTTTCTGCGATATTATTATTTTTTTCGAGTTTTATAAGATTTATTCGGTTTAAAAATGCATGATTCATCTTAAATGATTGCGATGACTGAGTGCAAATTGTTTTCATTCCCCTCTCACTTATTTGTCAGTCATTTCGACCGTATATAATTTTTTGACCCACTTATAACGCAAATAAGAACGATCTGCAAAAACCAGCTGGCCAAACTTCACCGTGACCATGTACTTTTAACACGGGGATTCGCGTCTGTCGTATCATACGCGGCCCACCAGCCCATAAATAATTTCGTGCACGCGAAAATGCAACGGTGACAAGCACGGTAACAAGGACGGAGTACTCTCGTACAGACAGCGCCGACACTTGAATTTATTATCTTGGCGAATACAGGCACGTGAAAAGAAAAAGGGGAAAAAAATATATGCTACCGCGTATACATATAGGCTGAGATGTAAATTTCTAAAAACATTATGTACTCTTCAGAAGGCCGATTTTTCGTTCGCCGGCGTCAAGGAAGGCGAACCAGTTCCGCGGAATGAAATCATTGGCGACGTGAAGGCACATTGCCGTGATCTTGCATGCATTAATGTCATCAGGCGCTTTGATTATGCAGTTTTGATAATGCAGTAACTCCCGAAAGCACGATAATTTTTTAATTATTTGTTATATTACTTTTATACGAGCGCGATGCGCAACGGGTGGATTATATGACACTTTTTTTTACCGAGAAATAAAATGATAGAAAGATTAACACGTTTTGTGCCAGACTATAAATTTTAATTATATGACATTTTTTTTATCCGGAAATAAAATGATGGAAAGATTAACACGTTCCGTGCCAGATTGCCCATATCGCGTGGATCACAGGTGAATCATGCAGTATGTTCATTATAGTTGTTAAATAAATTGTGTTTCATAATAATTACAAACGTAAACAAATTATTATTATTATAAGGAAAAAGTACAAAATACAAAACAAAGCCCATGTTTTTATTAAACATTTACTTAATACTAACATTTAATATAAAAATACTTATTAATAACCAAAAAATAAAATATTTAACGGCTTGAGCGAAAAAGTTTAACGTAAGTCAGCAGTGATTAATAATGCATTCTAATATATGGAGAATAAACTCGCTGAATATTAGAATATAAAAAACATTTTTATACAACAATTTATCTTTTCTATTTCCTTATCTTGATTATTTGTAATATTTTGTAATATTTTTATCAAACCGTTTATTGAAATTGAATCAACTGTTATCATCTCCAACTTGAAAAATTATCAATGTGGAATTTTATCAGAGGTCGTTTTTTTTTTAATCAATGACTATTAAATACGATGCAATTGTGAAGCAAGAGTCCTTATCTCCGCTGAATAAATTGGGGCCGTGGCGTGAAGCCGAAGTTTCGTAACGTGACGATCGATATCAATAAATTTACATGAAAATGTAATCAGATCAGAAACTATGGTTATCGTCGTTTCTATTATACGTCGTTGTGTAAAATTGAATTGAAAAATTCCGAAATCTTCTGTATTTGATAACTTAAAGTATATCTGCGCCCGCATCTTGTTGTTTTATGTTTCAAGATGACGTAACTGCGGTAACGTAGGACGGACAATTTAAATTATCTCTATCAAATTAAGTTTAAACACGAGACTTCGTATATCATTATCACCCTCGTGAAAATACTTAAAGTATCAAACACACGCAAGATCTCGGCCGATTTCGTAACACGAGTCGCTGTTAGATGCTTGTCCGAACAGTCGTGGAATTTTACGATAGGTACTCACTTTTGTGGCATCCTCGCCGCGTGCGAGAAGTAAATTATGCTTTAAAATACGACGATGAATAGAACTTATGTTTATACAGCGTTCCCCTGCGCGTATCCATCCGGGAAATAATTTTTCACATATAATTATATACAAAATATATCTTCATTATATTTTGTATTTCTTTTTATATAATATCTGTGTTAGTTTATATAATGCAAAAATAATTTTTTAAATTATTTTTTAATTCTTTTTCTAATTATTTTTCTTGTATATACGTTCAAAGATTATACAAAAGAGAGGAAACATATATGGACATATTTTATACATAAAATATATGGAAAATTTTTTCCCGAGCGCTCTGCGTGCAGCTCAGCGAAAAATACGATTTCGTATCAAGTATCAACCTTTTGCGCTGTACGTTTAGGACTTACAGATGAAATCTGAAGAGCCTTGTATATCGCGGTGGTTACCGTGCGATGTGTGAAGAGATTGAAACGAATGAATGAGATCCACGTTGTTGGTGGATCCGGTTAAGCCGTGATTCACGTAGCCCTCCAGGCCCTGCCTGCTGTCCGAGCTACTATTGTCTTTCATTCTGAAAACGTGAAATATCAAAATTAATGCGAGGTCAAATCAACGAGAGACGATCGAAATTTTCTATTCGCAAACGCTATATTTAAAATAAAATGATCTACTGCGAAATAATCTGCACAGCAGGATATTTTATATTCTTTGCAAAAAAGATATAGAAAAAGATCAAATGAGATGCAGAGATGGAGAGAAAAAGAGGATAATTTCATAAAAGAAGAAACGTTCGCGTTTCGAAGAATTAAAAATATCCCGAGCTTTCGATTGGCGATTAGATTAATAACATGTGACAACGCGATCGCGATACTCTAGTCATCGTTAGTTAAAACGATTGGAGAGACGATATTTGCGAAGTGGAAGACACCACGATCGGTCTATTAAACTTGGCCGTGAACCAAGTACTAATTGCAGTCAAGGCGACATTGTCACGAGGATGTCTTATAACCCACCTTATCTCGTCCATTATAGGAAAAATACATTATGAAAATATTATATCACTATATCATAAATGAGATGATTAGATTAGACGTGATCCGTCGCCGCGACACTCGCGGAGCAAATTCTGTCGCGAGAGAATCGCAACGAGAGATCTGCTTGTTATGCCGCAAGTAAACCGCGAAAGCGATGACTGTTTCTGTCTGAGCGAAAAATGTCGAGTTAACCGAAATCAATAGCTGTTATGATTAATATTATAAACAATAGCTATTATAATTAATAATATTGCAATAATAGCATCTGTAATTAGATACATGTTAATTCAGCAACAGATACTTATAATATAATTATAAATATTAGTTCAGTTGTATCAGTTATGTTAAAGTTTTTTTTTGGCGTTCGCCAAAGTAACCCGATGTTGTCAGGAGTGTTATCCGACTAAGCGTCTCTTTTTTCTCATTGCGGGATTGCCGGGTTCCTCTTATACGCTAAAAGCGTCACTTAAGCGCGTCGCGGGCGCAGCCCCCAAATGCAGGCCGGGTTACGTGAGCTCGTGTGGTTATCGTAACAACTAGTGTCTCTATTTTATGTAAGACACCCGGGGTTTCATAACTTTTAAAATCTTGTACTCCCCACAGAACCTGCGGGGATCGATATTGCCTCGCGCGGCCCAGTACGAGCAGTTTACGCGAATTCGCGCGCGCGGCGGTCCCGCGGGAACATCGCGCTTGTTTCTCCTTTATTGAAAATTAAAGCGAAAACTTTCGTCCATTCATTTCAGAGCCGTAGGGAAATTACAATTCCGCGATTTACGGGCGTTTAATTTTGAGAGATACTCAGCGCGCGGATCTCCCGAAACGTTTGCGCGGTTCGCTCGCTCGCTCGGTTTTTCTTCCGCGACTTATTCGTAGCGCTTGGCTCTAATTTTCGTGGGTTTAATTTTGATCTTGTTTAAATCTTATTTGGAGAAGATTTTTTCCCCTGATAATGCGCAATATGCCTCGTGACGATAGCACACGGAAGATAATCCGTGTGAATCCTCACTCGAGGTATGCTTTTGATATTGAAGCCGCATTGCGTAAGCGCGCGACATGCGCAAGCACAATTCTGCATCAATCATTGCAATTAGACAACAAAGCTATAAGTATAATCAGGTGACTAATTTTATTGACATACTTTCCTGCTCGGTTCGCGGCAGTCCGAAATTGATGATCCCAGACGAATTTTTGCAGTTCATTCGTATTTACGTTTGATTTCACATTTCACCGATATTGACTCGGTTGTAATCACATATGAAATTTGATTAATTTAAGTCTTTTCCGAGCGATTCTTTTTATATACGTTACACATTGGACATCATTGCTAATTAGATAGCGCTCGATATGCGGCAAATAATGTATAATAAAATAAGAAATATGTAACACTTTTTAATTAGAGAAGACGTGACTTTTATAGAGATAATTTTAACGTCTACAATTAATCAAGAATTAATTAAACTTCGTGCATATTTAAGGTCTAAGTTTCGTGTGTATTTAAATTTATTTCCAAGAGTTACGTTTATCTCTTTTATTTCTAATTAAATAATAACGAAGGCGACGAGGAATTTAGAATTGCGTAAAATTTAAAACTCAAGCTTTCTTATAAATAATGTGTCAGCATATAAATTTCTTTAAATTTTTTTACCGGTTAGTTTTCGAAAACGTTTATAACAAAGTTGAAGATTTTTTAATGGGTTCTAATGGTAGTCTCGATGCTGCACATCAATTATTAAAAATACTTATTAAAAATGTTAAAAATTTATGTAATTTAAATTTATGTTTAATATAGAAAAAATGATACTAAAAGTATCTTCAAAGATTTGAAAAATATGATCACATGGTCTTGCAATATTAAATTGCACTGCAGCAGAACCGCAGTAATAAATCGATATCAAAATGTGTATTTAATTGACATTTACTTAAATAGGACAATGAAAATAGAAAATAGATATAGACTTCTTGTCACATCTCAAGTATTATACGTTGGTTAAGTGCTTCGCAGTATAAAATGCACATACAAGATTACGCGATAAAACTTTTATTGTGTGGCGTAAAAGTGACGTTATAAAAACGTGACTTTTTGCTAGACGAAATGTTCTCAAAAATTAACCGGTAAACAATTTTTAAATTTACATGCTGATATTATATTTATAAAAGAATTTATATTTTGAAATTTTGTGTAATTCTTAACATTTCTACGTCCTTAACAGACTTCGCGTAAGTCGAAAAAAAAATAAACTTTTTTATCACAACTTAAGATTGAGCTCCCGTCGAGTACTTTCTTTATCACTCGCGACGGATTTTATTACGACGGATTAAAGCTTATCAGTTGAAATTGGCATTCGTTCGGCGTGATATATAGGTGCCTTCGAGCAAACGTGTCCGAATCTAAAACTGAAATAAAATATGTCGTCTCACGCGCGCACAAAGTGCACGACGACGTGCCGACGAACACCAGAGTCGGCGTTTGATCTTCGATAGAGCCGGCGTAATTCACTGTTAGAAGTAGCAATTACTACAAGTGGGTTCGATTGACTGGCGTCATTTCGTCTGATTGTTTCGCCAATACCGCGACGTTTGCTTGCAAATGAAAGCAAAATGAAAACGATAAGGGAATTAAAAGCCTATTCCGCGATTTTGTGCCATGCCAACGCGACGGTATATGAGTTTCTCGGCGGTGATGACTACGAGAAATTTTTCGACTCGCGTACTTTTTATTGCACGGCGATTACCCGTAGACTAGTGACAATCTGTTCAAATATCGTAAACATTGGGCAATGAACCAGATAATCTTGTGATCTCCTCGAGCGCTGATCGCACGCATAGTTCGTCTGAGATTTATATGAGTCACGTTATAATACGTTTACATGCTTTAATAAACGTCAGCACGCGGTCTTAAGAGGAAACAAATGTAAAGATATCTCCTCGTGCGGTTGAATCATCATCCAATAAAAATGGAATAACGAAATGAGAATGACACGTGCATGCAATTTAAGAGGTTTTAAGTTAAACAACGATATATACTTATTTCCAGCAGGATACAAAATTAGAGAACGTTTTGATTTTATTAATATATATTATTTAAATAAATATTTTAATTCTTTCTATTTCATTATTTTCAAATTGTTTTACAAATTAACGGAATTATAGAATATTTTATTGGTTAATTCGGTTTCTAAATTATTAAAAAATTATGGGAAGATTTATTTCGTGCCTCTCATCACCTTTTGGTGAACGAGAAATCATATTTCAGAATTGAACGTTTTAAACATTTTGAGTGATATATTGCGGGTTTTCTAAGATAAAAACTTATGACATTTATAATAGGTAATAAAACGTTTGCAGTTTTTTTTTTGCATAAAACATCAAGATGTTGCGGTCGCGTATAATTGTTCCACTGCAGGCGTATCCGACACGCGCGTCCCACGCGACTTGAAGATGATTAATGATCACTAGCATCGAAGCCAAAAAAAGATGAAAAAAAAAGAGAACTATGTCGCAAAACTAGTTCCTTATCATATTAATGATTCATTTAACTTCAAATTGCTACACGTTAATAATTTTACGATTTTAATCACGAAGGACATCCGTGCAAAAATTGTTTTGCGGTAATTACATGGAAAAAAATAATTGCCAGAAAAATTACATCGTTTAAAATAGGTAAAGCGGTCTTTTTTCGTTCCGAGTTCTACTATCTCTTATTTTTAGCTCAATGCCGATATTATCGTTTTTTGAAATGAACTTCTGCAATAAATATAACAACTGCGGTAATTACATGGAAAAAAATAATTGCCAGAAAAATTACATCGTTTAACATAGATAAAGCGGTCTTTTTCGTTCCGGGCTCTATTTCTTATATCTTTAGCTCAATGCCGATATTATCGGTTTTCGAAAAGAACTTCTTGCAACATAAATATATTTTCGTTCAGTTTGTTTGATACTTCGAATGATATTTTATTTTGATCCGCATGTATGTGCGGGTGTGTATCATATGTTTTTGACGCGCACAATCTGTATACGGATTATATTATCGCGAATGTATCAATAAATATCATAAAATGTATATACGTGTGTATGTATACGTGATAACAAATTGCAATTCAGTGTATAAACTTCGAATCATGTGTTCGAGCTTGTTTTACAAACGTGCACCGCGACAAGCACGGCGATTTCCCGAGTGGATATCCTCATAGCTCTTGTTGCATTAATGAGCATTAGCCGTTGAGCCGGCTCGGTTGCAAGTGAAAAGATCATCAATTGATAAACGCGCGTG